TGCGGCTGCACGGATTCTCTGAGCCTCGGCTTTGCCGCGGGCGACACGGGGACAGTCCCGGTGCTCACCTGCCAGGGCTGCCATGGAGATCAGGAGAGCCTGTGCCCCGCTGCACAGAGGGACTCACACACACTGCCTCCGGGGGAGCAGTTTGGATTCCGGGCCTGCCCGCCAGCAGCCAGCAGGTGTCCCCACAGGGCAGGGCCTCAGGGAAGGAGACTTGGCAGTGGCAGGAGCCACAATCCCCCTGCTGAGCGCCTGTTGAAGCAGCTGCGCTTTCCCAAGGCCCACCTGCCTCCCTGGGGCCTGCGAAAGGGGAATGGCTGCATAGAGTGCCCACGGGAAGACCTCACAGCTCGGCGGGAGAAGGGCTGGGCCGGCGTGGCAAGCCCAGGCTCCAGCTTGTGCCCGTGTGTCCCCAGGTCCCCAGGGCCCTCTCTTCCTGCCTCCACGTGCCCTTCAGCTGCACCTGGCTGGGGCACGGAGAAGACCTCCTCCCGGCAGCAGCCCTCCTGCACTGGGCCCAGCAAGGAGGGCGCACGCTCTTTCCTCCTCCAGGGAGTCCGCACAGGGAACACACGCCAGCGGGCCACTCGGCGGGCGCCCGGGGCTGGCCCAGGCACATGTGCGGCCCCTCCGTCATTGCTTTGCGGTGAGCTGAGTGCCCGGTTCTCCCCCAGGGAGGTGGGGGTGGGGAAGGAGGGGGAGCAGAGCCACCCCACCACTCACCCTTGCCTCCCGGCCCCTTTCCACGCCGGGGGTGTCACCTGGCCGCAGGCAGCGTGGGACAGGCTGCTCGCTCCTGCCATCTAGGAGATCCCAGCCGCCTCACAGCTGTCCAAAACCCCTTCCTCCCATGAGGTCAGGAGTGGCCCCTGTCCTGAGGGCCACTGTGGGAGGCCAGCCGGGCACGGCACACAGACGGCTTCGTTAAAGGGAGCGTGTGGCTGTGCCTGGCTGAGGTGGCTTCTCTGTGGTCACCCTGCAGCCCGCCAGAGGAGATCACCATCCTCCCTGCTTTCAGAGGAGTCTCATGGGCCCAGATGTCCACCTCAGCTCCTCGGTGGCTATTGTAAGAAACAATACTCCTGACCTGCTTACCCAGGGCCTCGGCTGGGTGCTTCAGTCACAGTCCCAGAGCACTGGCAGGGCCGGGAGGACCCAAGTGGACTGAGCAGAGCAGGTAGGGGGACGACTCACGGCCCAGCTTCAAGATCTAGGCTGGCAAGACCAATGCAGACAAAGAGTCTGGCCTTTGGAGTGGCGGTGAGCAGGACAGGGCCGCCAACCTCTGTGTTGTGCGTGGGGGCGGGTTGAGTACAGAGGGGATATGAGATTGGACAGGCAGGTAGGTGGGGGTGGGGGCGGATCTGAAGCCCCTGGAGCTGGTGTTGGGGGCTGCGGGGGCCAAGGCCCTCCGATGGTGCTCCTCGCTGGAGAAGACGCTGGTGGCACTGGGCTCACAGGCAGGACCTGCGGCCAGATTCATCCCCCTGCCCCTCGGTGCGAGGCGCCGGCTGGACAGTGCTGTGGCTCCAGAAGCAGGGTCCGTGGGAGACAACAAGGGTGGCCGGGGGCAGGCAGAAGGGGGCTGGCAGCACCGCTGGCCCGACTGCGCGGTGACGTGACTAGTTGATGGCCCGGAAGGTGAGGAGGGGGTGGGTGGAGGGCACGAACACGAACTGGTAGGTCATCTTCACATCCTCCTGCCTGAGGGTCTCCACCAGGAAGCTCTTCAGCACCTAGGACAGAGGCACGGGTTCCACCTGGCCAAATGGTCAACCCCGATGTCCTGGTCCACCTTCCCTCGCCTTTCTGGACCCTACCTTTCGGGTCAGGCGCAGCGGAGGAGAAGGAGAGGCCTGTGGTCCCCGAGCAGGCCACCCGGCACCCCCAGGCCCCGCCCACCCGCAGGCCACGCCCTGCCCGGTCGCATCCCGTTCCGCCCCCCCGGGCCACCCAGGCCCGCTCACGTGGTGCAGCAACAGCAGCATCTCTGTCTCTGCCAGGCGCCGCCCCAGGCACTGGCGCAGACCAAAGCCGAAGCCTAGGTGTGGGTATCTGGTGCCAGAGCCCCTGTTGTCCAGCCAGCGCTGGGGATGGTAGCACTCGGGCCTCTCAAACACAGAGGGGTTTCGACCCAGGGAGTAGAGTTGCACCTTGACCAATGTCTGCGGAGAGGTGGGGAGGGGCGGGGTCGGTGGCCCCAGGAGTGAGAAGGTCACGCGGGCTTGGCGTCTGCTGGAGGGGCTGTGGGGCCTCACTCACCCCTGCCGGGATGTGGTAGTTCTGCAGCACCACGTCCGAGGCCACCTTTCGGTCCACAGACATCCCCACGGGGTACAGCCTGTGGATGGGGGCACCCGACAGGGTCCTCAGCTGTCCCTGGGACCCTCGCTTCCCCTCGGCCACCTTCCTATCCCAGGATGCGCCGGCCTGGGGGAGCTGCCAGCCACCCTCCCGGGTCGCCTCTGGCACCGGGAAGCCTAGATCACGAGGAGCTGCTTCCTTGCACTTCCTGAGTCAGACAAAGTTCCCTGAGCCCGAGCAGCCCCCGGACACGGCGGACACGGCCGAGGATGGGGCCCGGGACATTGAAGTGGGAGCCCAGGGGGAGAAGAGCTCCTAACCCTTTCGGGACAACGGGACGAGGTACAGGGTTGCATCTTGGGCGAAGCCGCTTCTCAGCCCCGGGACCTGGCCGCAGGCTCCCTGAGCACTGCTGTCCAGACAGTGGGGCCAGGACAGAGGCGGCAGCCGGGGCCTGCCACACCCACCTCAAGGTCTCCTTGAGGGCCGCCCGCAGCAGGGGCAGCTCCGAGGTTGCGCTCTGGGGATCCTGCGAGATCCTGGCCTCGGCCCCCAGGCTCTCCTGGCGTAGGGCCTGCTGCACTTCAGGGTTTCGAGCCAGCTCAAAGAGAGTCATCAACAGGGGGTAGACCGTCTGCAGGAGCCACGGGTGCAGGGCTCAGACCTTGGCCCAGGCCACGCACCTCAGCTCCCGGGGCCTCTCCACCCCGGAAGACGGTCCTCCCTTGGGGGTGGGTCGCCTCAGATCCGCGGTGACGTGGACGCCCGGAGAAGGACTCCTCCCAGGGATCTGGGACCTCAGGATCTAAAACCTAACACCTGACTCCCTCAGCGAAGGTGTCCCCAGGCTCAGTAAAGAATCAGGCCTTCTCCAGCCCCTTCGAGGCCTGGTTCTCACCCTCCTCTGGGGTCCTTCCTCTCAGGGGTGTGTATGGGGGGCGGGGGGGTTCTACTGCCCTAAACCGTTGGCACCCAGTAGGATTGTCGCCCGGACACCCGCAGGCAGGTCAGCCCAGACCCTGTGGTCGGAACACGGACGGCCCGCCCCGGCCCCTGAGTCGGCTGGAAATTTGGGGAGTTTCTCCACCGCAGGCCTGTGCCTCTCCTCGGAGCCCCGGGTGCCCGGCCCAGAGCACGACATCACAGATGCTGGTGCGTGAACCTGGGGTGGAGGGCCAGGAGGCTCTGGCTGCACTCCACACCCTGCGGCCTGCCCCCACCCCCAGGCTGCATGCCATCTGTTCTCTCTTGCACAAGCTGGAGCCCCGTGCGCCCCTTTCTGTCATCCGCCCGTCACCTCCAAAGCATCTCTGACCTGGGGCCAAATGGACTCTGTGCCTGGGAAGGGTTCCTGGTGCGGGCAGCCCTCCAGCCGCATCGCGGCCCTTCCCCTCTTCCCAGGACCCAGGCGACTGAATGGTGTCTGTGCTGCTCATGTCTCTGGGCTCGTCCACCCTGCACTGGGCCTAGAGTGTGGCATCCCACTCGGGGAACTGCAGACCCCTTCCCTTGAGGGTCAGTTCCCGGGCCCCCCACCCCAGGGCAGAGCCTTCTGTCAGCTCAGAACAGGAGCCTGAAGAAGACACAGGCACGGGGGCACGCAGCCTGGGGTCAGGAGGCTCCATGGCCTAGGGCAGGGCTGGTTGCTGTCCTGACCGTGTCCACGCTCCCGGTGGTGAGCTCGATGGAGTTGGCCCAGATGGCCTCGAGGCTCAGGTCCGCGTGCGTCAGCAGCTCCCCCACGATGCCGCTGTAGTGCTCCGGGCGGCTGAGGGCCAGCTCCTGGTAGATTTTCTGGATGGCATTGTTGGCTGTGGGGCACGGAGAGACAGGGGCCGGGGCACTTCTCCTCAGGCCCCTGCCCGTCAGCCCGCCTGCCCCGTGCCAACTGCTCAGGACCGGCCCGGCCCAGACTCACCGCCAAGCCTCTCGGGGCCACAAAGGCCCCCGAGGTGACCTCAGCCCTCCCCCAGCCTGTGGTGACAGGAAACCGGGGACCCTGGTGTCCCTGGCGTTCAGCGCTTGCCCAGTCTCTGGCCCTCACCATACTGGAAGATGTAGTCCCAGGACTCAAAGTGCTCCTTCCACAGCTGGGTGCTTGTCCAGCGTGATAGGACCCTGGGCATGAACATGAGCTGTGTGGTAGACTTTAACATGACCTTCAAAGCCCGGAGAAAGTTCAGGCTGGCAGGACTTGGGCTGTGGCCAAGGAGGCCCAGCCGCTCTCCAAAAAGGGCTAGATTGCTGGCTGTGGACAGGGAACGGTTGCTGAGCCCAGGGTGGCCGACAGCGTCACGGGGGCCTCAGCCCCGTTCCCGGCCGGTCCCGGCTTCCCCGAGCCCTGACCCCCCTTCCCTCCCACCCTGACCCCGCGGACCTTCTATGGTGTAAGAGAGGATGCTGGGCTGGATGTCCACGGTCAGACTCCCCCGGGCATTCTGCAGCACTCTCGACCTCAGGGCCTTCGAGAAATCCCTTGCCACCCAGTCCACCATGGGCAGGTACTTCTGGACGGCCTGAGGCGACAGCACGTCTGGGTTCAGCTTCAGTCGGTTCATGCGCCATTCGGGCCCGTTTCTGTAGAGCAGAGAGAGGCGCTTCAGGGGAGTCTGAGTCAGCAGCCTGGGGCCAGCCCTGGACCCATCTTCCTCGTCTCCGAGGGGAAGGGGCCAGGCAGGGAGCGGCCCGCTGATCCCAGGGGGCAGGCTGCCTGCCTGGGGGCGTGAGCGCCAGCCCTTTCCCTCAGGGAGGCCTTGTGTGCTGGGCCCAGGGTGCCCCCGTGAAAGGTGGGGCTGAGCCCAGAACTCCTGCCTGGCAGTGCCGCCTGGGTTCGTGGAGTTTGTTCACGCACACCCGCAGGCCCCTTGGCTGGCACGTCAGCAGCTGTCCGGGCTCTCCCTGTCCCTGAAGGCAGGGGAGAGGTGGGCCAGCCAGCTCCAGAGTGAGGGGCCCCCGGCAACCTTCTCCTTCCAACCCTCCCTGCTCTGAGAATGATGCTTCTGGGCCGGTCCCACGTCCCCTGTCCACCCAAGAGGATACACACGCACACACACACACACACACGTGCTCACACACACACCCACCTACAGCTTAGCTCCTGGGCAAAGGTGCCTTCTTCCCCCGTCCCCCTTCTCCCCAACGCCCCCTCCCCAGCCCCGGCCTCTCTCCTCCTCAGCCACCTGGGCTCTAGTCAATGCCAGTGGGTCCTCAGGCCCCAGCAAATGCTGACACGTTCCCGAGCCCCTAGCCCCGACTCTCCTCCCGCTGCCCCGGGCTTCCTACCCTGACCTGTAGGAAGGGAGAAGCCCACCCCGCACGGGGAGTCCGCGGAGGCCTGCGCAGCCTGGGGCTCCCTGATGGCAGCGATCATCCGTCCTCCTCTCTGAGGCCGTGGCCCCGCTGCCCCTCCTCAGCCCCAGGACACATACGATCCCCAAGGGGTGGGCACCCAGCGGGAGCCAGTGGCCGCTCTCCGCCCCAACCTGGACGGGCCTTGGGCGGGCCCGCTTGCCATCAGCCCTGCCCGCCCCTCCCCGCCCCTGCCCGCCCAGACTCCCTCTCACAGCAAGAACACGCCACATTTGTGCCCGCGATGCTGTCGGTAGGCCAGCCAGGGGTCCAGGGGCGGCCGCCACGGTTGATGGCCGTCCACTTGCTGTAGCCTCTGCACATCCTCGGGTAGCATCAGGAACACCATGCGTGTCCCTCCCACGTCATACCTGTGGGACGAAGCTCACAGCCCTGCTGGGGGACCCGTGCCCTCCCCCAGGCCTCACTGTGCAGGACCAAGGCGGCCCGTCTCCCGTGGGCCTGTCCCTTCTCCCGGACTGGGGCTCTCCCGGAGCGGGCAGCCCCTCCCGCGGTCTGACCCGAGCCTCTCCTGCTCTGCTGTCCGCGCTCTGCCCTCTCAGCCGCGGCCAGGGAGTGCTCCCTCCTCCCCAAGAGCCGCAGTCTCCAGGTGCCAGGCCCGGAACCCCCGCTGCTCGGCACCCACCCCGCCTCCCCGGGGGACGCGGAGCACAGGCGGGGGTGCGCCTGGCCGGGACTCAGCAGCCGCTAGGGAGAGCCGCACAGGTGCTGTGGCTGAGGTGGGCGGGGAGGCCTTTACCTGAAAATGGGCCCCAGCTCCCGGAAGAGCTGGTGCACCTCCAGGTGAAGGTTCTCCAAGCGCTGATCCTTCCAGATCCGCAGCAACCTCATCCACCTGCTGCCGGGACAGCGCGGTATGGCTTCGAAGGGCAGCACCGCCTTGGGGGCCGGAGCGGCTCTGGCGCCCGGTGCGCGGGCCCTGCCCGGGGACGGCCAGGGCCCTGCCAGCCACACGCGTGCCTTTGCCCCGAATGCCATCCTGCTGCTCCCTCCGGCCCCCGTCGGCCCAATTCTTTTATCTCGCTGGAGGCCTGGGCCTGTGGCCTGATCGCGTCATGGGAGAAGTTGTCCCTGGACCCGGCCAGGAAACCCGCAGCGGGGGTCAGGGCTGGAGGCCTCCAGAAGAGACGGATGGGCACCTTGTGCCACGGTTTCGCAAGGCCTGCTGGCTGCTGGATGTGGAGAGCAGGGCAGGGTCTGGATCGTGGGCTGAGTGGGGCGGGCGGGGTTGTGAGCACTTCCCTCCTCCCCGGTGGGGGAAGGGAGCAAGATGGATGGGGCCCCTTATCTAATCGAGAGACGCAGGGGCCTGCGCTGTTCTCCTCTCCTTTCTACAAGGACCAGAGCAGGAAGCAGTGGGCAGCCATGAGTCCCACAAACCTACGTGCCTTCTGTCCGCTCTTCCCAGATCATAGGCTGGGTGCAGGGAACGCCCACGTGAGCCGACAAGGGTCCCCGCCCGGGAGGGCTTTCAGGGCCCTTAGGGGACTCCAGCGACCCAACTGTGGGTGGCACCGATGTGGCCGGCACCCCGTCTCGCTGGCTCTGCTGCCTCAGCTCTGGGGCAGCGAATGCCCAGGACATGAGCAAGCCACTCCTCAGGCGGGGAAATGAGGCACCGCTTGCCTGGCCCCCCCCCCCCCCCCCCCCCCCCCCCCGTGTGGCCCCCCGCAGGGGCGGCGCTCAGTGCCCAGGCCCTCCTTTCTCGCCCGGAAGCCTGCGCTCAGGGGTGCGGACCCAGAGCTCAGGCCAGTGGCGGGAGGATCAAGTCCACGATGGGGGCTGTGGGCGTGGGCTCCCACCCTCTGGAGGGTGGATCCCGGGTTTGGGGTCCCAGGGCACCTCACCCACGTCAGGCGGGCTTCCCCCGAGGTGGCTCTGGCCATCATCGTTCCCATTTTCAGATGAGGGGACACAAGCCCTGGGCTCCTGCCACCCCCAGGGCCCCCAACGTGTCACAGGGGCCCCGCGGCCCTGGCTCCTGCTGGGCCCCCAGCCCTGACCGTGATTTGGGGAGGGGAGGGGGCGGTGGGGTAGCCGCAGCTGGGGCTCTGGAGGCAGCAAGGAGGCTGCGTGCGGGTGTCGGTGGGAAGGGCCAAGATCTGAGTGTCTTCAAGGGTACTGCAGTGGGATCCTGTCCCTGCTCCACTGTTGCCCCTGGGAGTCTTCGGCGGGGCGAGGAGTCACGACTGCCCAGGCCCCTTCAGCAAGCTGCCACGTGCGCGTGCCTCAGCCCCGAACGGTGGGCACGCCTTGCTTTGGCAGAGACGCAGGCTGAAGCCACAGCGGCCCGGGCCAGGCCGCCCCGCCTGCTGCCGACCCTCCACCCCCAGCGGCGGCCCAGGCGGCGGAAGTC